GCCAACACTCAACCCCGCCCCCGGCCCCGCACCAGCAGCTACCCCGGTCCCAGGAGTGGTGGGTGTGGCCCCGGGGGGGGTCCGGGGTGGGGCATAAAACCCCATTTTTGGGGTTTAGCCCATGTGGTGCGCGCTCTCGCTGCGCACCCCCCAGTATTTTTTTATTTTTTTTTTGATTTTTTTTTTTGGGGGGGGGGTCTGGAGGCAGGGCTGGGGGTGCCCACCCCCGGACCCCCGGACCCCTGCTGGGGCCCCGGGGCCGGGGCTTGACAACCCTGGTTCTAACTAGTAAACCGTGTGTCCCTATCACTAATTATGGACAGCGGCACGCCATTCTTGCTTACCCATATGTCAAAAAACTTACTAATGACTAAGTTTGTACATGCCTCGGAAGGCAGGGGAACAAATATTGCATACTTACTAAGTCTATCTACTATCACCATGACTTGAGTTTTGTCGTTCCTACTTCTGACCCCGGTATCCATGAAGTTCATGGAAACTGAATCTCTGGGTCCTGATGGAATAGGCAAGGGTCTAAGAAGACCTAGAGGGGCTCTGGTTGTAGTCTCATTACGCTGACATACCTTGCAGCTGCGCACATACTCTATGCAGTCTGCTTTCATACCTGCCCACGTGTATGACATCATCAAGTTAGCTAAAGTCTTTTGTCATCCGACGTGTCCTTCCGTATTGTGGCATTCCCTTAGGATTAAGCTGCGGATCTCTTCACTGTTGGGGACGCACAGCCTGTCAGCGACATTGGTCTTCTCAAACAGTAGCCCGTTCGTGGTTCGGTAGTGCGGCTCACTATCTGGGGTTTCCCTTACTCTCTTCATCAACTCACTGTAGATCAGGTCGTGAGCGTGTGCATCTCTGATTTTCTGCTGCAGATCGGCCCCTATGTCTAGATACTGCACTATCGTGCCGAAGTAATCAGCTCTCCTACTCAGAGCATCGGCTACCACGTTATACTTTCCTTTTACAGGCTTTAACTCAAAGTCAAATTGGTCTATCGCATCAGCCCATCTAGTCAACTTCAACGTCATTTTGGTATGTGCCTTTAGCCATCGAAGAGTCTCGTGATCAGAATATACCTTGAAGTGTCTCCCAAGCAGGTAGTGCTTCCAGTGATTTAAAGCCTGCCTGAGAGCATAGAGTTCCCTCTCATATGTCAATGCTGCAACTTTCTCTGAGGGCAGTCTGGCTGACATAAACTTTACGGGCCTATGGTCATTGTCGTCATCTTGCTGTAGGACGACAGCTATGCTGTACTGACTAGCGTCTGTAGTAATAGCAAATGGCAGTGACGGGTCAGCAACTTTGAGGACAGGGTACTCTATTAGAGACTTCTTTAATTTATTGAAGGCTGGCGTGCAATCCTAATCCCACTTCCAAATTGTATTTTTCTTCAGCAATCTACGAAGGGGGGCAACGATCGTGGAGAAGTTCCTAACAAACTTCCTATAGTAATGAGTCAATCCTGGGAATGAACATAACTTTGTCACTGTCTTAGGAGTTGGACAGTCTCTGATTGATGCAATATTACTGTCTTCGGGCCGAATACTGTCTCCGTCTAGTACATGGCCTAGGTAAAGGACCTCTGTCTTGGCCCATTCGCACTTCATCGGGTTAATCTTAAAATCTGCCGCAGATACCCCTCATGCTCCTCGAGGGTCTTGCTGAATACTAGGGTATCGTCTAAATAAACTATGACGAACCTATTTAACCACGGTCTAAACAAGTCGTTCATGCATCATTGAAATGTGGTGGGTGCATTAGTTAGTCCAAATAGCATCACTATGAACTCGTAATGCCCATATCTTGTCCTCAACGTCATCTTATACTGATCGTCAGGGTGGACCTCTACCTGATGGTAACCTGACTTCAAATCTATCTTTGAAAAATACTTGCATCCTTGCACTTGATCTAACAAGTCATCTATACACGGCAGCGGCTCTGCATTCTTAATTGTGATGGCGTTCAGTCCCATGTAGTCTATACGCATACGTAGTTCTCCCTCTTTCTTTGGGACGAATAGAATAGGTGCACCGAAAGGTACCGAAAGGTACCGAAAGGTGATGAACTAGGTCTTATCCATCCTTTCTCTAGGAGTTCGTCTAACTGTCTGCAAAGCTCCTGTAGCTCCTTAGGAGACATTTTGTAGACTTCCCCCTTAGGCATTCTACTCCCAAATTTTATCTTTATGCGGTGGACTGATTTGGGCACTACTCCTCAAGGTGCTTCAAATAAGTTTTTGTACTTTTTCATCAATCCGACAATAGAAGGATGGATCTTCTCTTCTTTCTTTGGCTCGTCAGAAATCGGCCTAATACAGGCTATAAACACCTGCTTTTCAAGTTGCTCTTTTCTAACGAGTCTGGCGAATGCAGGAACGTTGAGGCAGCAATGGGCAAGGTGGTTATCTACCCCGTACTCATGATATAGGCGGACTTGCGTGATTCGTCTGATGCGCTAGGGAGCCTACACTCGTACTCTCTAAGGTGAAGTGTAGCTCCTGCTGCCTCCCCCCAATATGTACCTAACACAATGTCAAATAGGAGACTTTCTTCTACGAGGAGGGTGAAGGAGTGCAGTACTTTCTCTACCTTTCCATCTTTCTCAAGGCGAAAGTAGGCGTGGACCCCCTCAACATACTCTTCAACGCGCATCCTACTGTTGTCTGCAAGGATGCTGACTGCAGGTTCTTCTAATCGTTGGACTTTGAGATTGAGCTTCAACTTTTTCAGCGCTTTACGACTGATATAACTCCTAGTCACCCCACTGTCTATCAGGGCTCCTACTTTAGCTCTAAAAATCTCTACGTCTGCGAGGATAAGTTGTCCTTTACTATCCTTCTTCATCTTGGCCCAGGATTGCCTCCTCTCTCTCAACTCTTCAGCTAAGCCTGTGAGGGAGACGTTTAGAGAGACTCTAACACAAACAGTCTCTGGACAGCCTACTAGACACCGGCCAGCAACCTCTGCCATGGAAATATGTGACTCTACTTCGCTCGCACGCTCAGATCCACATACTTCTGGGGTAGGGGCAGTTGCAACTCCTACCGGCGGCTGTCTTTTGCTGCCCTAAACTCAGCACAGTCCCTATACTTAGGACATAACTTTATAATGTGGCCTGGGTCCTCGCAAAATGCGCACTGAGAGCTATTAATGCGTTTTTGCCATACACTTTTGTCAATTCTCAAGGTCGGCCCTCAGGCCGGCCTGCGTGCCCCCAACTATGTTGCACGCCCGGCCGTGGCCGAGGGGGGGAAATCGGCCGCGGCCTCGGCCGACGGCCTAATCGGCCAGGTTCGGCCACGGCCGACCAGCCGAGTTTGGTGAAGGATTTTTTTTTTTTTTAACGCATAAAAAACAAATAAAAAAATATGGGCGTGTAGGGCTAAAAAAACCCTCCACGCCCATTTTTTT